GCACTACTGGGAGTAACAAGGAATAACGGCCACAAGTTGATTGAGAGGAGGTTCAGGCTAGACATCAGGAGGCACTACTTCACAGTCAGGGCGGCTAGGATCTGGAACCAACTTCCAAGGAAAGTGGTGCTGGCTCCTACCCTGGGGGTCTTCAAAAGGAGGCTAGATAATCACCTAGACGGGGGCCCTTGACCCCAGCATTCTTTCCTGCCCATGGCAGGGGGCCGGACTTGATGATGTGGTCAGGTCTCTTCCGACCCTACCAACTATGAAACTACTATGAAACTATGGATTACCAATCCTCTTCTAATAATAAATTAAAAAGGGAAATAGGGCCATTTGGGAGAACACATGCTATGATCCAGTGAATATGGATGTGTCAGAAGCTGGATGGATGGGCCAAGATGAAAGCCCAAACAATATGGGGGAGTAAGAAGGATCACAGATGCCAGGAGCAAGATTTACAAATACAGATCTCACCCTCCTTATAAAAAAGTAGTGCTGAGAAATCCACAAAACTAGAAAGGTCAAAAAGTCGTGAAGAGGGTAATAGCTAAAAATAAATTATGTGACAGGCCAAGCCTGATGATGTTCTGTAGGGAACTCCTAATGACGTTAAAAGAAAACATGTGCGGGAAAGACTACAGGATTGGGCTGTAATGACAGAGGACATGGAATATGAGCTTTGGTACCTAAGTGCAATCTTAAGTGTGATGGTATTCCACCATGAGTTCCTGAAAAACACTGAATATATAAGGTGGGTGGGTCTTCCTCCTTGCAACTTTTTTTGTGACTAAATCTTAATGGTATGATTACTCATTATAAAAGTAGATGCATTAATGGATTTTCAGGACTTGAACAGGGTGGAATAGAGTTGCATTTAGGCAACTAAGTCCTCTTAGATACCTAATAGGTGAAATAGAAATTGGCTCCAAGTTCACCACAGAGCATACTAACATTATTAATGCATATGAACTATCAACTTCTCAGCATGACTGCCAATAAAAAGTAAGAGATTAGTATTTTACTTCTATACAAGGTACTGACCTGCTTTGCCCATTTCCTCTGTTCCCAGCAGTCCTTCAGCCAGGCACCCAACTCTGTGATGAAGCCTGTTTAGCACCAGTGAAGTTCCCCACATTTAGAGTGACAACGTTCTGAGCTGAGATGAGGGAATCAAAATTAAAATCCAACCCGTCTGCATCCATGAGCTCACTGCGGATAATGGACTCCATGTCACATTCCAAGCTCCCATTGAAAATATCCAGGTCCAAATCACTTGGGAATTTATCATGTCCCATGACTGGAAGGTTCACACCAGCAGAATACAAAGAAGAGCCTGAGAGTGAATCAGAAAGTGTTTGCATAGACTGATTGACAGGTGACTGCTGCTGGTGTTTGGCTGACCCCAAGCTGTTCGTGTCATTTAAGCCCATGTTACTGACTGAATTCGACAAGGCACGGCTGCCACTAAGAGGAGAATTCGGAGATGGATGCTGGTGGTGGAGCAGGTTTTGACTGACCAAACTTCCCTGGCTGGACTGAGCAGCAAATGACATCATTGGGTCATTACGAAGCATTATATTCCTGCGTGAGTTTTGGGCAGACACAGCAGTGCTGGCTTGTGACATGAGCGGATCCGACTGCGTCATCATGACATCACTGTGACTAGGCGAATCAGATGCCAGCAGGTCCTGAAGCGTCTGGTTGTTGTAATGAGAAATGGAGGAAAAGGTAGCTTGCTTGTTCTCTTGTATAGTTTGCATGGGAGACTGGCGGAGGGAATTCAGAGAGGATGGTCCAAACACAGCATTGTTGAAACTACTGGATGGAGAACCAAGACCCGAACCTTTGGAGCCATACGGAAAACTTGAGCTTCTTTGCATCAGCCCCCCAGAAGGTGACTGCTGGGAAGAGGGGAGCGTTATATTATCCAAAAGATCATCCATGAGATTATCCGTCAGTCCATCGTTTAAGTTCATTGTGCCTGCCATATCGGTTAGCCGAGGCAACTCAACTGTACACGGCTTATTTACTGATGGGGACAAGCTTGATGGACTATTGTACAGCATTGGGGACAGTGGAGCATCATCATCCTGAACATCATCCAGTTCAGTACTTGCCAATATGGGTGACAAGCGGCCACTTATCGTACTGGCATTTGAATTTGTACGAGATCGAAAATCTGTCCAGGCATCCAACTCATCGCTGCTACGGGATGTTGGGCTCCCTGGCCACTTGGAAAGCTGAGAAGGGCTGTCATCACTCACTTCTTGTGCGGCTTGTTGGGTTGCCTTCTTCTTAGCTGCTCGCCCCCTGCTCTTAGTGTACTTGTTGCTATTGTCCATGGAAACAGCACGTCTCCTTGGGGCCTTCCCTCCTTTCCCACCATCTGGGTTGATCATCCACCAAGAGCTTTTCCCGGTTCCTTCATTCTGCACCCTGATGAATCGACTATGAAGTGATAGGTTATGCCGGATTGAGTTCTGTGGAAAAAGAATGAAACAAGTGGTCAAGACAGGCACCATACCCTCTGCTAGTCTACTCTCCATCATGCAAAACCAACAGTAAATGAAGCCCAAGGAACAGATAAAAACCCTGAGCCACTCCAATGCTTTGAACTGGTCAGGCAGGGGATGCAAACTGCCCAGATTTTAGCTCTCAAATGTGGTAGGAAGCTCCCCTTAAATCATTCAACTGCAAGAAGAAAAACAAAAACACAGAACCCCAAGCCCCAGCCACTGACGGCTGGTGGACTGGCACTTCTTCCTTCTGTTGACCAAATAAAACACCCTGGAGGCCAGTAGTGTAAAAACGGATGGATAAGTAGGGCACTAGTCCCAGGTACTGTCCAAGGAGGAAAGGGACACCAGAATGGAGCTGAGGAGTGACTCACCCTCCCATATCCCATTTCTCCATATGTGCACACATATACTCTGGACCTTCCCTGCTCTATCTCTGGCTCCAGAAGCAAGAAAGGCAGGGAAGTAGCTGCAATGTGTAGTGGAGTATTGGATGGGGGTTCACTGCTGTAAGGGGGGAGATGTCTGCTTTTTGCCACTGACAACTAGTGTTTTTTTGGTGGCTCACTATGCCTACTGGCAGCAAAAAAGAGGGCTGACATGTCCCTCATCACAGCAGCAAACCTCCAGTTGTTCCTCCACTGCATGCCACTTCTCTGCCCTCCCTGCTGCGGGAAGCGGAAGGGGGAAGAATGTATGTGTGGTGGGGGATATTGGCCACTTACTGCTCATTTAATCTACATGCAGCAGAGGCCTAACTCCTGTCCCAACTTCCTTGAAATAAGGACTGCAACCACTTAACTAAAACAAGTCAAAAGGCTGGGCCTTTCACTGCAGCATATGTGAGAGCTTCTGTATTCTTCACTGCAATGCAACATTATATATGCCTTATTAGACTTCTGTGCAGATGGCAATTGCTACCCCTGGTCCTCCCACAGAAGCTGCACCCTGGAGGTGGAGTGTACTGTTTCATTCTATTGGTGGCATCTGAATTATGTCTGCACTGTACCTGCTCTGTTGCTTCGACACCCACAACATCTTTCTGATCTCCTTAAATTGTTGGGTATTCATCCACTATAAAATCATTAGAACAGCAGGACTGTCCCCTTAAAAAGTCAAGTAAAGCCAAAATCTAGTCAGATGCCAAAGATAACTGTCCACAGGGAATGAAAAACAGAACTCTGACTATGCGCCAATGGACAAGGTGCACGTGTTCTCAAAAAACTTTGTGAACTCATGCTATGGTGATCAATGCCCATACAAAAAAAATCTAAGATGGACAGAAAACAACCAGTCCCTGGTAACATTTGTAAAACTGCTCTAAATTCACACCAGTGTAAATGAGACTGAGATCTGGGCTTGACCTACAGCTGAAAAAAAAGGACTAGGAAGAAGCATTTGTCTGCAAAAGGTTTTCTAGGCTTTTTGTTTCTATCTGTAAGCTAAAGAATTTTGGAGCTATGCCATATTATCTTGGCAATACAGTTGTACTAATGCTGTATGTTAAATAGGAACAAGTTTAAAAAGTCACAAAGTTTTTTTTTCCCCTAAAATACTGGCAAATGTCAGCTGTATCTATGTGGAAGATACAAATACATGTGTTCCACCAGCATGTTTTAAAAACAGAAAGTCAACAGGATTTCAGTGTAATCAAACAAGCCCAGTGAGTGTTTTCCATTTACTAAGTGCTTAAGGGATTCCAGTTTCAAATGGACAAGGAACGCTCGCAACCAACAATTATTCATAAACATCTTGGCATTCATGCCATTAGCATAGAAGGATGTTTGACGTAAATGAACTGAAGACATGCTGGGTGTGTGAAGAAATACAGCCCAGCTGATTTTTTTTCTCTGTTCCTTTAAGCATAAATCTTTTTTTTTTTTTCCAGTGCTGTGGTTTTGGTCAGGTTCAGTAATGAACAACACCCCTAACTTCTTTGCACGCATGGGCCCCAGACACATTCTTGACTGTCTTCTAATGAAAAGAAAAAAATTAAATTCAATTACATCTCGGAACAGCCTTGAAAAAAAAACAAACCCTGCACAGCGTTGCAAACAAGACTTTACAATGATACTACAGTGAAATTTGTGTCAGTGTCTCTGTTATTAACTCAAATACTGTCAAAGAACAATACTAAAAAAACAAGATAATTTGGTTTGATTCTCAGTGTAACAGTTCCTCAGGCTAGTCAGGAATTAATTTTTATTATTAAATTAATGAGCTTCTAGTCATATTTTGAGTCTGGCAAGAATCTGTTTTAACTGGTATTAACCACATCCCATAAACCCTGGGGTCACCCTCACAGACCTTTTAAATAAGTTATTTGAATTTTTTAAATGGGACAAAAATGTCCTACTGGAGGTTCTGATCCTAAACTGGACATAGGTGGGTGAGCTCTTATGCTCATGCCATGTTGACCTCAGTGGTGCTTTGCACAGAAGAGCATTTATGACATGGGTCCATTTGCTTGACCAAGTCTAGCTGTACACAGTAAAAGAAAAAACTATGCATCATTACAAGCCACTGCAATAAGAAGACAACTAAGACTAGGCACACAATCTATACATGCAAAGCTAGCAAATATTTATGCAAAAGAATACAGTCTTCTTACAGAAACCAACAAAGAAAAACTGGCATTGATAAAAGAATGGCAGACTGTATACCTTAAAACACAAAAATAAATTGCCCAAAATGGCAACAGCCAACGATTTTCAATACAAAAGCAACCTGTCATCTGCTGGCAGAAAGACTTATTTCTGCCAGCTATAACCTTATCATAGGTATTTCCCCTAAAAATCCGAAGAGCTCAGTGCCTCAACTTGTGCTGACTTCACAGAGTTGACAGGCCTAGCATCTTCTAGGACAAGGTGCTCTGTGCATGGAAGTTAGTGGTAATCTTCCAATCAGAATCTTGTATTACACATAATGAAAGGATATAACAATCATTTTTAATAAAAATGGGTGCTTATAGAAAAGTTTGTGTCCATCTTCTGTTACACAAAATGCCCTTTGCCCACCAGCTAAAGTCTTTCTTCACCGATTTCTGTAAAAGAGTGTTTTCTTTTAGCACATTTACTGTCCATCAGAGTTCTTTCTCCCCAATTCACACTCTCCCATCAAGTATTTCCTTAAAATACAATGCTTTTGTGTAACCTGTCCATATTAACTTCCCCAATAATGTATTTGCTTCCCGGTGCTGGAAGCACTGTCACATCTATTGTATCTATCCAAGTCAACTAAAGCCCTATCTTGCCACTGACATACAACAGGACTGACTATTCACACAATAGGCTGCCAGGACTGGACTATCAGACTGTAAACTAAGCAGAAACAACCCCATTTGAGACCTGGTTTATGTAGTTGTATAACTAGATTAAAATGTTAAAAAGTCTGGAAAATATTCACCCACCAGAATCTGCATTAAAGATGCATACTACTACTGTGACAAACCACAAAGGAAAAATAAAAACTCAAGAAAACACAAAAATACAAAAGGAACCTGCTCGTATTTGAATCAGTGGGAGTTTTGCCTTTGACTTGACTAGGGGTAGAATTAGGCCATTAAGACATGTAACAAATTTGTCCATGCCTAAATACAATGAGAAGCTTTAAAGCTATGACAATGGTGCTTTTGTAACTTGGTATTGGGGAACACGTGCAAATGTGACTTGCGGTAGCATATGAGTAAAGAATCCTGGAAAAGACCTATCACAGACCACTCCTGGCAGGAGAAGTCTGATGGAGGTAGACCACAGGGGTAGGAAAAAATGCTTGGGGCCTGACATTTGTCTTGTGGGAGTTAGAGGAGCAGGGGTTAGTAGGCCAATCCCTTTCTTCTGGATCCTTCATCATATACTTGCTTGCTTTCCTGGCACATTTGCATCTTCAACTTTCTTATACAATCTCTCGTGTGTGTGAAAAGGACCAAACACTTGTGTGCCAGACAACAGTCCATCAGCATACATCTGTTTGCTGGCAAATAATCAGAGGACAGATCATTATCACTGATAGAGGTAATACTTTTTATAGACTTCAGAGCAGTGAACTTCATGTCCAGTAGACAAGGATTTATCCACTGCATGGCATTTTTTAAAGTAGTTGTCCTTGAAAGAATCAGCCAAATTCTGCTCAAGAGAACAAATGTGCCTATCATATCCTGATAACCCATTTCTTTCAACATTCGGACAGGATTACAGACAGATCAGTTGACACAGTAGTGCATTTTGTCACCACTAAGACCTTATGGACTAGATTTGACATAGATGCTTAATTTCTCTTTTTCATAAAAGCTCACAATTAAAAAGTATTTGAATGTTCCATCAGGGTCAAGCGAAGCTGGCAGACCCCTAAGTCTTTAAAAATGTAAGAATTTCCCAGCCCCTCCTACCCTGGGTTTGTTTCAGACTCTTCCAAACTGTGTTTACCTTGCGAAGCCCATCCATTAACTCAGACACCAGCTGCAAGTGCTTCCCCTGGAATACAGAGACTTTTTTGTCTGGAAGCAACATGTGGTATCAATTTATCATTCTCAACAACGCAACAAGGAATCCACTCACTTTAAAAATAAAAAGCGAGTTGTGTAACTTAACTCTTAAATGCCTCTGCTTAAAAAAAAAGCCTAGAGATTAGTAAAATGAGGTGCAGCTGGTGAACGCCGAGTCCAAGTTACATGCTGGTCTGTAGTCAGTCTAGTATTTTATGGCAGTTAATTCATTATTTCATTTACAGATTGGTAAACTGTAAAATCCCATCTACGAATCTAAAGCAGTAGTTAATTTTAAGAATAGATGCACTTGGTAGTGAGACAAAAAGCAACACTATCTAACTAGCCCATAAATGCTAGTTTTGGAAGGTTAATAATCTGCTGTATACTTTATTGAAATATTTTAAAGCAGGAGCTTTACTGTACAAATTTGGGTGATGGGAATTTAGCAGGAATATCTGCAGGAAGGCATATATTCTTA